ATGGTTTGAGATACTAAAATATGCAATAGTCTTTTTCGGGAAGACAAGAATTTCCCATCAATGGAAGTATTTGAGCAGAGGCAAAATAACTACTTGGCAAAGAGATTGCAAAAGGGAATCAAGCACCAGATCATAAGGGAGGGGTACTAGGTAACCATTAAGGCTTCTTCTTCTTTTTTTTTTTTTGAGTCAGGGTCTCTCTCTGTCACCCAGGTTGGAGTGTAGCAACTAAATCACAGCTCACTGTAGCCTCGACCTCCTGGGTTCAAGTGATCCTCCCACCTCAGCCTCCTGAGTAGCTGGGACCACAGGCATGTACCACCATGCCTGGTTAATTGTTTTGTTTTTTTGTAGAGACAAGAGTGTTCCTATCTTGCCCATGCGGGTCTCAAACACCTGGGCTCGAGATCCTCCCACCTCGGCCTTCCAAAGTGCTGAGATTATAGGTGTGAGCCACCGCACCTGGCCTAAAGCTACTTCTGACACTATAATTTTGAAATTCAAGTGGTGGGGGGGATAGAGGCGAAAATAGTTGTAGCCCTCAGAGTAGGTACCTCTGAACTAGTTATTATCTTTGCTTCCAGTCTTTCCTCCTCCAGCCCACTCTGCACGTAGGCTCTAGAAATATTTTCTTAAATACTCTACCATGAGACCTTTCGGCTCAAGTATGATAGAATCTCAGTAACCATAAAGGTCATCTGGTTCAGTCCTTTATCTGATGCTTTCATTGTCTTTGCATCAGACTCATGGAGTCCCTGCTTGAATACTTCTAGTGATGGAGAGCTGCCGACTTTTAGGGGCAATCCATTTTAATTGCAGAGAGTACTACTAACACTAGAAATTTCTTCCCAAATACAGCAAAAGGCTTATGTTTAGATGTTGGGGTTAGGACATTTTTCTTCTGTTTTTGAAACTGTTGGTAATACATTTCAAAGGACTTTAAGAGGCTGGAATCAGGAGCTGAAACATTTATTATAATTTTTCACTAAAAAAAAAAGAGAGGAAAAGGAGCATCTTCCTTATGTTCCCAAACCCGCTTTCTTGTAATTTCCATCCATTAGATCTTGGAGCCCTTGAAGTCATGCAGAACAAATCTACTGTGAGCCCGGTAATGATTTGCTGACAGTGGACAAATTTATCCTGGGATTCTTCGGTCCTCTCACTCTTCTCTGGATATACTTTTGTTATCATCTTCCTTGAAGTCTGGTGCTTATAACTGAACACCGGACATCAAATCTGATCAGTGCAGAATAGCACAAGATGATCACCTCCTTTGTTCTGAAAGTTGTACTCTTGGTAATATGGCCCAAGGTCACAATGCTTTTTATAGCTACCCAAACCGCATTTTCAACTCATGAGCTTTCATTGATTCTAAAACCCCTCTAAGCCATGTCTCTCACATCTTACATTTGTACCGCCACATTTAGAAGTTCTAATAAGGGACTTTATCAACTTTGTGTGACTTGTAAATTTGATCTAGTGACATTAAAACAGAACTATTTTGTGTGTAGTCATTCAACCAGTTAAGAATTCGCTTAGGTTTACCTTTACCCACTCCACACGTATCCATGTTGTCCCCAAAGCATTGAGAGAATGTTTGGTTAAACTCCAGATGCACTGTGGGTGATAACTTTCCCTCCTCTACCTGTCATGGTCACCCTGTCAAAGGAAATGAACTCAATGGGGCATGATTTGTTTTTCCTGAATCCATGTGGGGATTGAGTGATTGTCACTTCCTTTTGTAAGTGCTTACCAACCATCCTTTTAATCATTTGTTGTAGAATCTTGCCCTCAATCAGTATCAAACGTATTGATCTATAATTTGTGGAGTTTACCTTTTCCCATCTCTAAAAGCGGGGCCATGTTTGCCCATCTCCAGGTAGCAGTGCATATCTCTTCCCTTCTCCATGGGGTTTTCAGGGCCACCACCAGATGTCCTGCAACTTGAGCTGCAAGTCCTTGAAGTGCCCTGGGATGTCACTGACTCAGACAATGAGATGGAGTTACTCAGGGCAGCTGACAGCTCTCTTAGACTAGACTGCCTTCAGGAGCTTCTCTCTGGTGTTCACCTTGTCCTTTCTAGTCTGAAAATCCTTTTCCTTGCAGAAGAGAAGGAATGAAAGAGGAGCTGAGGAGATTTTGTTTTTTCACCATAACACCATTCACAAAAGAGTTCAGTCAGTGTGTCCAGCTACTCATCCAATAATAGCCAAACTCTTCTGCTATGAAGATCTGCATGAGCTGCCTCGCCAAGCTGATTTCCCACCATTTTGGTCAGTCCCCTTAAGCAGACCTAGACCTTCTCATCTCCGTGATTTGGTGGAGGTTTCTCCTCAATTTGGAATGCCTGCTACTCTACCCATTCACCCACCCCAATCCCACCATAGCCTTTCTTATAATTTCTCCAATCCCCTTAACCTTTACCATACTATTGAAGCACATGCGTTTCATTATTTGATCATGGTTCTGTTTTTCCTTCTTGACGGTACGCAACCCAAAATGGGTGTCTTCTATCCCCCATAGCATGTAAACTAGCACAGGGCCAGGCCTACAGTCCTGGTAACCACACTTCCAGCTATGGAGATTTCCACAATGACCAACCTCTGACCCTTCACACACACTACAAATTCAGATCAAATGACAGCTATGTCCAGCTCCTTAAGGACTAAAATAGAAACCAGATAAATCTGGGGATGCGGACTAGGCACTAATGCTTTTTGCAGTGTGAAATAAAATCCAAGTATATCCTCAGCTTCTCTTCAAACAAGGAGCTGGGCTTTTTAGCTGGGCCCGGGGCTGTCAGTCAGCAACAGGGCTGAGAACCTGAAGCTACATGGGCACAGAACTGTCAATTAGATTGAAATCCTGCCTGTCTTGGAGGTCATGTCTTCCACCTAGGCCTTTCAAAGGTGTGAAGACCAATTGTAATCTCTCGCCGATGGGTCCCTAATAGGATTGGGGATGGTTTTGCTATGGCGCCTTGACTTCTTAGTGGAGAGGCTGTGTCTAAATCTTCCCAGAATAGACAGCCCTCCTAACTTGGAGGTACACTCCCCACTCCAGAAGAGAAGGCCAGGTATGATCTCAAATAGGAGGCCACAATATCTCAAATGGAACAATCAAAGGATGGAACGTAAGAACGAAGACTCTGAATTGACCTCAAAAAGTCATGTAGCACTTTGGGAGCCCGAGGCAGGAGGATTGCTTGAGCCCAGGAGTTCGAGATCAGCCTGGGCAACATGGTGAAACCCCGTCTCTATTAAAAAAAAAAAAAAAAAAAAAAAAAAAAAAGTCATGTAATCTAGCCCTCTGCTCTCAGGAAGATGAGAAATACCCGTGCTTCCCTTAGTAGCCATTCACTCAACTTGGCAACTGTTATTGAGGACTCAGTAGGTGCTTGTGATCATTTCCTGTTCATAGCAAAATTCTTCCTTGTATTTCACTAGATCTCATTTTCCCCTCTATCATTCTCAAAAGAAATGGAGAACAGGTCATCAGCTCTGTCCTTATTTAGCAGTTAAATTTCGACGATGGGTATAGCACACTTGTCACATGGTAGGTGCTCTACAGCCATTGAATGCTACCTCATCAGCTTTTTCCTTTCTGAAACACACATACACACACACACTCTCTCTCTCTCTCTACCTAATCCTGTGGCATTATTTACGCTCTTCTCCAGACCCTCTCTAGCTTTCCACATATGCTAAAAATGTGTTGACCAAGGGTAGACCCATCGTGCTTTGAAAGGTATGACCAATGGCAGGTAGAGTGGAACAATTGAATGGGACCATGGCAAGGGTCATGTAGTGCTGGGTGGCATTCTAGGTCTGTTTCTAACACTAACTGTGACGGGCTTTTCTGGGCCCAGTTCCCCAACTATAAAATAAATGGGTTGGACTAGATGACTCTCGGGTGACTTTTGGCTCTAAAACTCACACTTGGATGACTTCTCAGCTCCTCCATGCTGTGTTTTTGTTACTATATGCTAGTATTCACATTAGTTTTGGAAAAAGGAAAGATAGGTGGGAGGAAAGGAGGGAGAAAACCAGTTTTACACCATGGACTCCCTTGTGCTGCACCCTGACACCATCTCCCCAGTTCTTGTTTTTAACTATATTTGTGTCGAGTCAATTGCTGACTGTCTCCCTTGTCCAGTGTACCATATTAGTGTATTTGTTCTGGGTTTTGGTCTTTGTACACACTACCTGTGTTTGTCCTCTCTCAGCGTGGTCCTGCTTGTGATGGTTCATCTCCCTCATTTTGCCGGGGTCATCTGAAGAATTCGATTCCTGCTTTCTCAGCCATCAGCAACCCCACCCAACTGTCATACTTGTCGAGCCCACTCCCAGTTCAGTCTTTCAAGTCTGAGAATAATATGAAATCTCATAATGCTAACCCTGTGGGGCCCCACTGAATCCATGCCCCAGGGTTGATAGGGAGTCAGTAATCACAGTCCTGTGGAGAAATTGCTCCCAGGGCCCCAAGGACTTCTTCAGTTCTAATTCACAGAGCAGCAAGCAAGTATCCCTGAGGAAGGAGAGAGCCCCTGCTCTGTCAGTCACTCAAGGCCAGGGAGTTCCACGTCTGACGCTGCACTGGATTCAGATAGGAGAAAGAATTTCAGCATGCTAGAGGTCAAACCTCCTCCCAGCCCCCAGTCCAAGGTGAGGGCATGGTGGTTGCAGCAGAGGAGGAGGAGGAGGCTGCAGCGGTGGCAGAGGAGGAAGGAAGTATTATTTTTGCCGTTTCGTTAGGAGGCCTGAGATGCTGAGAGGAGGCTTCAGCTGCAGGAACCCAGTGTGCTGGGGGCAGGGAGATGGGAACAGCAACCTGATTAAGATTGGAGAGGCCTTCATGCAGGGCCCCCCTTCTCTCCACACAGTGCAGCCCAGACACGTATCAGCTTAAAGATACAGGAGGCCTGATTGCCGGATTCCCAGCCCACAGGGGCATTCCTGCTCAGAGGTCTGTTGGGGCAAGGCCTGTGCAAGGGAGGCAGGTTGGGAGTGCTAACTGGATTTTTTATTTTTATATCAAGACACTGTTTAAAATTTTTACAAAGGACAAACTCCATGGGTTTCCGTTAGTGTTTTAAGAACTTTTCTTTTAAAAAAAAAAGCCAACAACAACAAAAAACACCGCCTTTTTGAAAGAGAAATGACAGACACAAAAGAGACTGTAAAGAAAATTGGGCGAATTTCTGATAGCATTTCCCCAAGGGCAGAGGCAAAATCCAGATCAGACCCGGGGGTCCAATAATGACGTGGCCTGGCCACCGTACCTTGTTCACCAAATCTAAGGTCCCCTCGTCTGGCCAGGCCAATGCTGCTGGCCTTTGGGGAAGCAGGTCACCCTGCAGGCTCTGCAGGCCTCCACACAGACACAGAGTTGGAGATCTCTCCCCTATGTCTCTCTAGCCCCATCCAGCACTAGCCCCTTTCTCCTTCCACCCCATGGTCTTGCTTGAATCTGTTTCTTTCCTGGGGGTCCTGTTCCTTGGTCTGACTGTGTGAACTCTGGGGGTCCCAGGGCCAGAGAGACCTTCGGGCCTGGAGCCCTCCCTTGCAGAGCCTCTTAGCACTCATGGGTTGGAAAAGCATTTGTTCCAAAATTAAAAAAGAAAAATCAACAAAACAAGACCCAGAAAAAAGACCAAGTCTCAGGGAGGAAGAGCTATTCTGCTCTTTAAAGCTCCCAAGTCTGGAGTTGGTCGGTGGTGCAGTTCCAAGAGAGGCCGAAGGCGAGCACCAAGGGGGTGTCCAGCTGTTGCTTTCAGGCCCCCCGGGAGTATCTGTGGTCAGGCTCGGGGAGCTGGCTTCAGCTGCTGTTTCATGGGTCCTCAGTTTACCAAGGACTCATCTGCGTCCCCATTTGGAGGGTTTGTTCAGGTTTACTTCTGTATCTGTGTTTTTGTACATGCGGGTGCATGTCCACATCTGTCTGTGTTTGTGCGGGTGGGTCTGCTGTAGGGTGTGGGTGCGTGCGTATACATCTATGTGTGTGTGTGTGTGTCTGTGTGTGTGTGTGTCTGTGTGTGCATGTGTTCCTGGATCTGGGAGGGAGGGAGCCAGGAGACAGGCTGTGCTCTGAGCTGGAGCTATACCCGGGTAGTGGAGTGTGAGTGGGGCAGCCCGGTACTGTTGAACCCTGCGGCAAAGGTGTTATAGGGGTGCAATGTCTGCAGCCCTACCAGGGAGTTGGGGATCATAGTGATGGTGTTGGGGGTCATGAGTGGGATGTCATCTGGGGATCGCCGCAGGGTCAGGGTGTAGTCGGGCAATGCAGTGAGGCGCAGTGTGTCATGGGGGGGACCGGCCTCACACTCGTGGTGGGTGGGGCCCAGCTGTAATGCTGCCAGCTCCTCCTCTGGAGCAGCTCCCAATTCAGGGGCCCCGGCTCCCCGCTGAGGGCTAGGCTGCCGCAGGGGTTCCTGGCGCCGTTTGTCCTTACGGTAGTAGAGGGCAGCGAAGGCCAGAACGTTAAGGAACAGGAGGGAGGCCCCCACGGCGATGGTGACACTTAATTCAGTGGAGTAGTCACGAGGGTTCTCCACCAGGAGTGGCCCTGCATCCTGGTCCCCATTCCAGGACCCCTGGGCGTTCTCGTTGCTGTAGGCAGGTGAGATGGCTGGCCGCTTCGTGCTCCAGGTCTTGCCATTGGGCCTGCGGGTGATGTGGGAGCTGTGGGTGGTATCCGGAGGCGGCACTTTGGTGGTGGTGGACGTATAGTGGAACATGTCATGCAGGTTGTATAGGTGGGGCACCAGATGTTTCCAAAAGGCCACCTTAGTGGCCCGGTAATGGTCTCGGACCCTTGGTTTCAGCCCGATGTGAAGGTAGAGCTGGTCTCGGGGATTGTATTTGGACCAGGCCACTTCCTCAAAGCGGTTGGCCTTGGTGTGAATGAACTTGGTGTCCTGGGGGACCGGCTTGTTGGGATCCCTGAAATACCACATGGAAATCTGGGGTCACTATTCTATCTGGATGAGGAAAAGGCCCAGCATTTTTCCTCTCACAGCCACCCTTAAACCTCTTTCCCAGTTCAGAAATTCCCACCACTTCCATCTTTTCCAGAGTCCCCCTGCTCTGTCCATACCTGCTTCTTCCCCAGGGTTTGAACTCCTAGCTCCTCCTTCCTGGTGCTCATCCTTTAAGATTAAGGCTATAGACGCTTTTTCTTTGCACATGCTACTGAGCATAATCAATCTTTTCAGCTGCCCAGTTTTGCCAGGAGCCCTCAAAGGCCCTTTCTTTTTTTATTAAGCAAGCAGAAGTTGCTGAACCTGAAGGCTCTTTCTGAATGTACTGCATTCCTACTTCGCATGACCTCTGACCAGCTAACCTTGAATCCCATAGTTTTTTGTTTTGAGATAAGGTCTCGCTCTGTCACCCAGGCTTGAGTGCAGTGGCGTGATCACAGCTCACTGTAGCCCCAGTCTCCGGGGCTCAAGTGATCCTCCCCTCTCAGCCTCCCAAGTAGCTAGGACTACAGGCACCCACCACCATGCCCAGCTAATGCTTTTTCTTTTAGAGAGTGTCTTTCTATGTTGTGCTGGCTCATCTTGAACTCCTGAGCTCAAGTGATCTGCCTTGGGCAAATCAGCTGTGAGCCACTGGGCCTAGCGAAATCCCATAATTCTTCCAGTAACTCTCATTCCTTCCCAGTCCCGATGCTAACTGAGTTCTGAGCCTCAACAACATTTTTGAAGGAAGGAAAAATGGCATGAGAGACTCAGGAAGGGGAAGTAGGAAGATGAGTGAAGGGGTACCAAGCAAGATTTAGGGAATATCTTAAGAAGGGAGATGATAGAAGAGGTTTAGCTAGAGGAGCAGAGGGGAGGGCATGCTGGGGTCCCCAAGAAGAAAAAACCCCTATTTTCTCCTTACCCAGTCTTGGCAAAGTTGGTCCAATAGGTCATGACGACAGCACTGAGCATAACATCATTCTTGGAGAAGTTGCAGGGGAAAAGGTCAGTGGGGCCTACCATAGGAACCCCAAAAACATAGGGTACTTCATCCCCATGAGCTGCATCTGACCAAGCAGGCTTCATGAGGCTCTGGCAGTGATGATAGAAGGCGTAGAAGTAGGTAGGTGAGCCGTAGCGGGCGTGCAGATCGGCTGTCACCACTGAGGGCTCCACCCACTGGTGGTCAGTGAAGAGTGCCACCAGTGTTTTACGGCGGGTCTCAGGGTTGTCACGGTCTGCCCAGTCTGTATACATGAACTTGATGGTCTCTCGCAGGGTATCCTTACCCTCAGGATAGCCATATAGATTGTCCACAAAATTGGAGACAGAATAGTCAAAGTCAGTGCCAGAGACACCATCCTCAGGGTCCACCACCCCTTCCACAAACTTGAGACCCTCGCCCTGGTTGACACCTAGCATGATGTCATAGTTGAGGAACTCGCCCTGCTCCATGAGGATCTCAGGGTCATCAGGAATGACATCACCATCAATCACAGGGCCAAAGGCCACGTGGTAGCGGGCTGGCTGGATGTCCTGCTCTACCAGCTCCTTGGCACTCTTTTGCCGAAGACAGTCCACCATATCCACGGTGTCTAGCACATTACAGCCCACTTTGTCTGCCAGCAGGCTGGTGTACTTCACTGGTTGGTAGTTCACAGCCCAGCTGGACAGAGCAGAACCACTTTGGATGATGGCTCTCTGGAAAAGTCCTACAGAAGACAGGCAGCACCAGTCAGATCTATCATGTCACCCACAGCCATAAATCCCCTCATTCCATTGCCACTGAGGCTGCTTCATGGTTTCAATGGGCTAGAAAGGGGGAACAACTCTTGGCAGGGGATGATGTGGGGCCAAAGGAGGAGTTGCTGAGCCCCTTGCCTGACTGCTTCCTCCGTCCCTTCCCTGTCCTGGTACCATGGCTGGTAACTTAGGGGTTAAGGCAATGTCAGAAAGAATTAACCCCTTAAATCCCAGACATCAGCCTCCTTATGCCGCCTCTCTTTATCTCTCCTTGTCTTCCCTTCTTGCTTCCTGCCCAGCTGGGCCCAGCTCTGTGCCAGCGCACCACCAGGGAGCTGGCGCTTGCACCACAAAGGAGTCTTTTTCATGAGAGATGAGAAATGCAGGCAGGCAAGAGCCCCACATTCTGAGGGTTTGGGGAAGGAGCCCAAGGGCAAAGGCCTTGGGGTCTGAAAGTCTCCAGGGAACCTGTGCTCCCCATCTGTGGCCTCTAACTAAGACTTTCCTTTTTTTTTTTTTTTTTCTGAGACAGAGTTTTGCTCTTGTTGCCCAGTCTGGAGTGCAGTGGTGCGATCTCGGCCACAACCTCCGCCTCCCAGGTTCAAGCGATTCTCCTGCCTCAGCCTCCCTGGTAGCTGGGATTACAGGCATGCACCACCACGCCCAGCTAATTTTGTATTTTTAGTAGAGACGGGGTTTCACCATGTTGGTCAGGCTGGTCTCGAACTCCTGACCTCAGGTGATCCTCCTGCCTCGGCCTCCCAAAGTGCTGGGATTATAGACACGAGCCACTGCGCCTAGCCAAGACTTTCTTTTTATCTGAAGCTACTGATACTTCAAATTCAGATTTTCCCCTAGCTGAGAGGGAGCCAGTCCCCCAAACTCAAAAAGAAGATAATTTTTCCTTCTCTAGAAAAAAAAAAGGGGTATAATTCTCTCCCTGGCCCCAATATTCCCAAGGGAAAATTTGTCCCTCAGGCACACAACTTCACTCTTTTAAGAGAAAGGGAGTTTGCATCAGTGGCAGTTTGCGTGAGTGGAAAGAGAGAGAGAAAGAAATGATAGATTACTACTTAAATGAGTCTCATTTTTCCAAAGATTATTCTCCATGCATCAATTACAGAAAAACAGAGAACAGATCTTTAAAGAAGTCAAACCTCGGCCAGGTACAGTGGCTCACGCCTGTAATCCCAGCACTTTGGGAGGCAGAGGTAGGTGGATCGCTTGAGCTTAGGAGTTCGAGACCAGCATGGGCAACATGGCGAAACCCCATCTCTACAAAAAAAAAATTTCTCCCCAAAATTAGCTTGGCATGGTGGCATGCACCTGTAGTCCCCAGCTACTTTGGAGGCTGAGGCAGGAGTATCACTTGAGCCTGGGAGGCAGAGGTTGCAGTGTTGCAGTGAGTTATGATTGCACCACTGCACTGTGGCCTGGGTGACAGAGTGAGACCTTGTCTCAAAAAAAAAAAAAAAAAGAAGTCAAACCTCCAGAGACACAGGCCCCCTATGAGACAAAGCACAGCACCAGTCCGGGAAGGCTTTCTTCTCCTGGGGAAGGAGTCCCCAGTCAGAGGAGGCACAGAACGTCTTTTCGGACCGGACCGAGGTACACTTACAGCATGTCGTTTCACCCTCCTTTGGGGAAAAAGGGGAAATTCTGGTTCCCACTATGGTCACCTAGGAACACATTCTCCTCTTTAGAGATGCAGATCCTGCCTAAGTCTTCCCTCACAAGGGTAGTCCCTGGAGGGGCAAAGACAGAATTTCTCGGTCAAAGAAGGTAGTTCTTCTTTCTCAGAGAGACAGAACTTCTTCAGAGAGACGGAAAGTCTTCCTGTGAGAATGTCACTAACTTAGAGGGTTAGTGTTCAATGAAAAAAGAAAAAAAGCATCCTTGCTCACAGATTTCCTTATTTCAGAAAAGGGCACCTATTTCAGGAAGATCTTTTCTTCATGAGAAGCTCAGCTTTGCAACTCAGAGATAGAATGTTCCCTGTAGTCCAGAGGTGGAGAAAACATTTCCTGCCGAGCAAAAAGGACCTATTCTGCTCTCTTGGAAGGGTCACTGGCAAAGGGACCCACCACAAGAAGAGAGGCCAAGACTGAGAATCTCCCCGGCAGTGTGCGCAGTCCAGGAGGAGGTCCGGAGTGCGATAACAGACCATCGTCCCCTGGAAGGAGCCCACCTCTTGGGTGAGTGACTCTCATTTCAGACCCACTTCGCCTCCAGGACATTTTCCCTTTTGTACAGACTTGCTTTTCAGAGAGAAAGGCAGAGAATGAGTGTTTCTTACACCTAGAAACCAACTTCCACCCTGTTTCTCTACTGTGAAGTAACATGTCCTTCCCATACTGAAAGATCCCCCACAGCCCCTGCCAAACTATTGTCCTCTGAGGGGACAATTGTTCTACTTCCACTCCCCCAGATAAGACTCCCACATCAGAAGGAGAATCCTGCTTTCCTGGGACATAAATGGAATTCTTTTCCTTCCCTTTCCCACTTCGAGAGAAGTACTTCTTCTCTCAGAGAAATATTTCTCTTCCACTTCTTCTTTTTTTTTTTTTTTGAGACGGAGTTTCGCTCTTGTTACCCAGGCTGGAGTGCAATGGCACGATCTCAGCTCACTGCAACCTCCGCCTCCTGGGCTCAGGCAATTCTCCTGCCTCAGCCTCCTGAGTAGCTGGAATTACAGGCACGTGCCACCATGCCCAGCTAATTTTTTGTATTTTTAGTAGAGACGGGGTTTCACCATGTTGACCAGGATGGTCTCGATCTCTCGACCTCGTGATCCACCCGCCTCAGCCTCCCAAAGTGCTGGGATTACAGGCTTGAGCCACTGCGCCCGGCCGTCTCTTCCACTTCTTGCCAAAGGGATACCAAGCTGGTAGAAAAGAACTGGCTGATTCCCTTAGATGGCCTGGGGCATGGATGGGGCACACTGGGCAGCCGGCACTTGGCTAGTTCATGTTTTGCCCCATGAGTTACTCACCCTCAGAGTGATGTGACAATGTGAGGAGGCTGACGCAGGATGCTCCAATGCCTGAGCCAAAGACGGTGATCCGGCGGGGGTCTCCCCCAAAGAAGGCAATATTCTCGCTCACCCAGCGGAGGGCCTGGATCTGGTCAAGGAGCCCATAGTTGCCCTTGGCAGCCTGATCTCCAGTACTCAGGAAACCTGGATTTGACAAAGGGCATGAGGGCACTGAAGGCAGAGGGATGGAGGATTTGGGTGATGATGGCAGGTAGGGTCATCAGGGGAGGTGGGGATAGAGAACGAGCACACAACGTAGTTCTTCCCACCTAACTAACTTAAACCACTGCTCCTTTCTGCAACGTCCAGCATCGTCAACAGAGGAGGGGTCGACTCCTTGCCTCCCACCTGTTATCCAGTTTGGAAGGAGGGGTCTGCAGACCATTTGAAGTGGATGCCTCTAGGTGGGAGACAAACTGCAGAAACTCCAAATGTCCAGAACTCAGCATTCTCTGCCCTGATGTACTACTGGGGACCTTACCCTAACGTCTGGCAAGATAGAATGGAAAGAGCAGCGATCTTGGAGTCAGACGGCCCTTGATTTGAATCCTGGCTCTATCACATCTTAGCCACGTAGCTTTGGACACTTTATTTAAAATCTCTGGGCCACAGTTTCCTCTTCTGTAAAATGGGGATAAAAATACCTCACAGGCTTGTAACAAGGACAAAATGAACAGAAGCATCTATAACATGCTCGCCACGTTGTAGCGCTATAGTCACTGCTCTTCCTCTTCCTTCTCTCTCCAAAGGAAGTGGAGATGATTGCAAGAGGCAACAATCCCTAAGCTCTCCTTGCCCTTCCTGTATAAATCAGTCCCTCTTCACTTCTTTCCAGGGCCTTAATGGTGCCCTTCCCCTCATTTTCAGGGCAGGTCCTCATTTCCCTTCCTTGGAAGCCAAATGGATCAGAAACTCTGGGGGTGGGGCCCAGCAATCGGTGTTTTTAACAAGCTCTCCAGGTGATGCTGATACCTGCTAAAGTTGAGAAACCACCGGGTCAGACCATCTTTTTCATATGATGGAGAAATGGGGAAGTCAGTGCAGTACGTTACCACAGAAACAGGTCTTCCCGCCCCCTCATTGGGATTTGCTGCTGAGGAGACATGTCACCATGGAGACTACCTTCCCACCCACCTGCTGGGATTTGCTGCTGTGGAGACTTGTTGCCATGGAGACTACCTTCCTGCCCACCTGCTGGCTATCCCACAGAGATGTCCTATATTCCCCCCTACTCTGCTTCCATTTTAGACTGATCCGGCGGCCTTATTTCATCTCTCTTCCCTGAATCCTTGGGTTCCTTGGAAGGCTCTGTCTTCTCCTGCCCTAGGCTTTTGGAAGAGATCTTTGCAGGTGGGTAATTGTGGAGCTCCTACGTATTGGAAACCCACACTTGGATCAGTATTTTTGACTCCCCAGTTAAAAGCTCATTCACAGCACCTGGAATCAACTTTGTGAGCACCCATGTTGAAGGAGGCTCCCAGAGCTCCCAGAGAGCTCTCTGGCGGTCCTTGCAGTCCACAGGCAGACGCTGAATTCAAAGAGACTCAAGCAGTCACAAGACTGCACCACTGCCTTTCTCAAGTCCTTCTGTACCTAGCTTCTGCAAAGAGCTCATCTCATCCCCTTCAAGTGTGTTATTAATTTACCTCTGGTACAATTAAGTATGTAAAGTACTTAGTTATTCCTCCCAGGCCCTAGTCACAAGTCCTTTTTAGCCCCAGGTTCCAGAGGAGGAAATGAGAATGAATTAGACAAAGCCTGAATGAGGATGAACAAAGGAACCCTTGCTCCTCCAGACAAGGAAACCAGATTCTCCTTTCTGTGGCCCATTCAGAAATTGAAGCTACTCCTTTGAGTCTTAAAAACTTGGCCAGGCATGGTGGCTCACGCCTGTAATCCCAGCACTTTGGGAGGCTGAGGCGGGAGGATCACATGAGGTCAGAAGTCTGAGACCAACCTGGGCAATGTAGCAAGGCCCTGTCTCCTTTCATTTTTAAAACAAAATGAATTAGCCAATTGTGGTGGTGCATGCCTGTAGTCCCAGCTACTCAGATGGCTGAGGCTGGAGGACCATTTGAGCCTAGGAGTCAAGGCTGCGGTGAGCTGTGATTACCCCACCACACTCCAGCCTGGGGGACAGAACGAGACTCCATCTCTAAAAAACAAAAAACATCCCCAAACTCCAACTCTGTTGACCAAGCTCCAATCCAACTGCCCAAGCCTTGGGACCCTCCGACAGAAATCACTCTGTCCTTGTAGTCCTCCCTCCCTCCTCCTCTCTCCTTCCCCTGTATTCTCCTTTCTTTTTCTTTGATTTAGGCAATAGTGGACTTGGCTTCAGCCTTTCACAAGGCATCATGTACTAAAATGTATCAAACTTTGTCCGCCCTAATCAGCAGGCAAAGCCTGCATTTGGATATAGTAGAGCGGATTTTTTCAACATGTACCGATTTCCTGGATTAGAAACAAAGGCCTGAAATGGCTGGATGGAGGATTTTTTTTTTTTTTGAGTCAGAGTTTCACTCTTGTCACTCAGGCTGGAGTGCAATGGCACGATCTCGACTCACTGAGATCTAGCCTCACTGAGATCTCACCTCCCAGGTTCAAGTTATTCTCCTGTCTCAGCCTCCCGAGTAGCTGGGATTACAGGCGCCCGTCAGCACGCCTGGCTAATTTTTGTATTTTTAGTAGAGACAGGGCTTCGCCATGTTGGCCAGGCTGGTCTCAAACTCCTGACTTGAAGGTACTGGATGGAGGATTTGACCATCACTCCCTGCTCCTTCAGATCCTGTGAGCCTCTGGATAAGGGGCTCTGAAGCATGTGGATGATGCCATGTTAATGATCCCTATTCCAAGAAGAGTCCTGCTTGAAATACTATCTCCAACAGGCTCAGGCAGATGACAGCAAACCTGCCCAACCACAAGCACACAAAATCTGGCATTCTGGGAGAGGTCACTGACTGCTATTTCCCCAGTAACTCAACTATCCACAGAAACCATGTGAGAATGAAGGCTGAAATACCAAACTCCATAACAGTAAATCGGAGCCAGTCTCCCTGGGTCCAAGTTTATACTGCAGTACATGGTAAACTGCTCGTCAACAGAAGGTGGGGGAATCTGGCAGATTGTAACAAAGCCAGATACTTGTGTCACTCAAGGCTTGATGTTTACTGTGTTTTCAGTTTGCCTGGAGGGTACCTGAGCAAGCATTTAGGATTCAGTTCTGGAAACTGGAGTAAAATTTGGCAAATTCCTGCTTCCTCAGCCTCAGTGATATCCACATCCTGTATCTTGCTGGAGACTCTTTCTTTCGTTGGCCTAAGCCCAGTGGGGCCTTCTCAAATAATATCTACCCCTCTGCCTTGCAGAGGATCCATGGATTAGCCTGTGACATTCTCAACATACATGAATCACCCAAGACATCTAGAAAAGCACCTTAGAGGCCGGGCACGGTGGCTCACGCCTGTAATCCAGCACTTTGGGAGGCTGAGTTGGGCAGATCACCTGAGGCAAGGAGTTTGAGACCAGCCTGGCCAACATGGCGAAACCCCGTCTCTACTAAAAATACAAAAATTAGCCGGGAGTGTTGGTGGGCACCTGTAATTCCAGCTACTTGGGAGCCTGGGGCAGGAGAATTACTTGAACCCGGGAGGCGGAGGTTGCAGTGAGACGAGATTGCACCACTGTACTCCAGCCTGGGCAACAGAGTGAGACTTTATCTCAAAAAAAAAAAAAAAAAAAAAAAAAAAAAAAGAAAGAGAAAATCACCTTAGAGCCTGATGGGTTCAGTGTTCAGGAAAGCTGATGGGAAGGAGAGTGAGTAAGTGCCAATGACTGGGGTCCAAAACTAGCCACCTGTTCTGGGATGCTTTGGGAAACAAAACAACAAAGGCTCCACGACACAGCAAAATCCCCAAGCATCGGGGACAAACCCATGTTCTACATCTGGTGCCAAGAGACAAAAACACCTTATATGTGCCCAGGATCCAATAGGAGCTTATTGATTATATTTGTGTTCCAGAATAGGAACTGAAATGTACGCAGGAAATGGTGAGGAACTTCTGACCAAATCTTAGTGTAGAACTCCTTCTGAGTTTTCAGTAATATGTGATCATCAACTGCTTAAGGCCAAGGAAGAATGTTCCTGGCCCCTGGATGTGCTGTTCTGGTTATCCAAATGAGAGGGAGTTGTCAAGTGGGAGTTTTTTAAATTTTTATTTATTTTTTGAGACAAAGTCTTGCTCTTGTCCTCCAGGCTGGAGTGCAATGGCACGATCTTGGCTCACTGCAACCTCCACCTCCCAGGTTCGAGCGATTTCCTGCCTCAGCCTCCCGAGTAGCTAGAATTACAGGTGCCCACCACCACGCCTGGCTAATTTTTGTATTTTTAGTAGAGATGGGGTTTCACCATGCTGGCCAGGCTGGTCTTGAACCCCTGACCTCAGCTGATCCGCCTGCCTCGGCCTCCAAAAGTGCTGGGAATACAGGTGTGAGCCACCACACCTGGCTGAAGTGGGAGTTCTTAACCTGACCTTCATGGATGAGCTTCAGGGGGATCTGTAAAATTGTTTTTCCTTTTTTTTTTGAGATGGAGTCTGACTTCGTTGTTCAGGCTGGAGTGCAGTGGCATGATCTTGGCTCACTGCAACTTCCACCTCCCAGGTTCAAGCGATTGTCCTGCCTCAGCCTCCTGAGTAGCTGGGACTACAGGCTCATTTTTGTATTTTTAGTAGAGATGAGGTTTCACCATGTCGGCCAGGCTGGTCTTGAACTCCTGACCTCAGGTGATCCGCCTGCCTCATTTTCCCAGTGCTGGGATTACAGGAGTGAGCCACCGTGCCTAGGCCTGTAAAATTATTTTCTTAAGTGTGTGTGCGTGCACCCATGTGTGCATCATTCTGGGGGAGAGTCCACAGCTTTCATCAGAATCTCAAAAGGGTTCAAGACCCCCCAAAAGGTTAAGAACTTCTGGTGTAGAAGCTTAAGGATTAGAGCAGCTGAAAGATTTTGAGGTAATCAGCAAATCAGGATATCATACGGAGTGCTCACCAGGGACAGTCTTCTGTGTGGCCCACAGCTCCCAACTGACACTGTGGAGAATTCACATCCTATGCGAAATGCCAAGTCTCTCCCCAAATCCTAAGTCTCTCCTTCTGTCTCCTCTCTGCTTCCTTTCCCTGAACCTCTCTTGTCCTCTCCTTCTCTTCCTTGCTTTCTCCTCTCTCTCATCCTCTTTTCCATAGTCTCTTTCTTTATTCCTAGCTGCTCTTGAAGCACATTTTTAGTATTCTTTGTACTTTCCAATAAACCTTATAAAATGGAGCACTGTTGTTCATATTTTTTTAAGCAGCTGAGTTGAGTGTTTTCTGCCACTCTAAGAAAAGAAAGTAGCAAAATTACTTTTGGTTTTCAACTACCATGTACATGTGTCTGTATATCTCTGTGTGGTTACATTGGCGCATTAATTCCTCTTTAGAAACTGTGCAGCCCAGCCGGGCATGGTCGCTCACACCTGTAATCCCGGCACTTTGGGAGGCTGAGGTGAAGGTGGCTCACTTGAGGTCAGGAGTTCCAGACCAGCCTGGCCAACACAGTGAAACCTTGTCTCTACTAAAAATACAAAAATTAGCTGAGTGTGGTGGCGCACAGCTGCAATCCCAGCTGCTCGGAAGGCTGAGGTGGGAGGATTATTTGAACCGGGGAAGTCGAGGCTGCAGTGAGCCATGATCGTGCCACTGCACTCCAGCCTGGGTGACAGAGTGAGACTCTGTCTCAAAAAATAATAATTAATTAAAAAAAGAAAGTGTGAGGTCCTAGTGTGTGGGTTTCCAGCCACCTTCATGGTACCATGAGATTCAACAGAACAGAACAGCTTACAAGAGCCTCATCATGGTATCTGAGGTGATGCAGAAAGACAGAGGGGCAGGGGCAGAATCGTGACATCTCAAGCCTTCCAGATCGTGGGGAGACCAGGGTGAATGGCCTACATGCTCCATATCCAGTATCCCAGTGCCACTGAAGGGGACACAGACTTGGCTGTTTTCAAGGAATATCATTTCTGCAGTTTGAACCCCAAAAAGGTATCTTCCTATCTCACACAGTATTAATTGTAAGCTAAGAGACTGCCATTCTGAACACAGAACTGCACCCAGAAGTGAAATGCAGCCCTGGGGTCTCTGGGATTGGAACTGACAAAGCAATATAGTCAAGAGAAAATTAACGCCGGGCACAGTGGCTCACGCCTGTAATCCCAGCACTTTGGGAGGCTGAGGCGGGTGGATCACCTGAGGTCAGGAATTTTTGAGGCCAGCCTGACCAGCATGGTCAAACCCCGTCTCTACTAAAAATACAAAAATTAGCTGGGTGTGGTGGTGGGCACCTGTAATCCCAGCTACTTGGGAGACTGAGGCAGGAGAATCACTTGAACTCGGGAGGCAGAGGTTGCAGTGAGCCGAGATCCTGCCACTGTACTCCAGCCTGGGCAACAGAGTGAGACTCTGTCTCAAAAAAAAAAAAAAAAAAAAAAAGCAAATTAAAATAAGGCCCTTGAGGTGGGAGGATCACTTGACTCCAGGAGTTCAAGACTGGCCTGGGCAAGAGTGAGATCCTGTCTCAAAAATTAAATAAAAATGAAATAAAATAAAAGGTCATGTTCCCTAACTAGCCATGGAATAAGCCATGCCTAACTGCTGGTTTAGCACCCATGCCTACAGACCTGATGAACGGCCTACACTCCCACTGAAATTCTTCCTCCAGGAAGAAGTTGGTTTCTTCATACCGTTACAGGGCTGCAGGCCTTGGGGGAGCATGAGTGGGGCCCTGTGTGCTTAGTCACCCTGTCTGAGGCACTCATTTACCTCAAGACCTTGGCCATAGATAGGCGTGGGTGGTCACCAAGGAAGGTACAGAGTTCAGGGGTGGCCTAAATGACTGACACAAGCTTGTGCACAGCAGAGAATGTGGGGTGGGGGGGAGGTGTATGGGTGCATATGAGGAGGCATTTGGCCAATGAGTACGTGTGCACGGGCGCATGTGTGTGATGGGTGCGAGTGTGCAGGGGGACAAGCATAGAGAAAGTCCAAGGAGTGTGTACATGCACATATATGGGGTACGGAAGTGTGCAGGGACTGGCGGGATGCGGTTGGGCGTGGGTAGTGATGTGTGTGCATGTATGGATATGGGTGCAGCCCCATGTACACAGATGTGTAGGTATTTGTGAGGTGGTGAGGGGGAAGTACACGGGTATGTGCCGGGTGTACATACGCATGGAAGAGTGTGCACATGTCTATGCATGCATATGTGTGTGTGTGGGGGTGTACGTGTAGGGCAATGACATAAGGGCAGTGCATGGGATGTGTGTAGATGTGGATGTGGTGTGTGTGTGGTATTTGTGTGTGTGTGGGGGTGGGACATTGTGGACAAACAGGTAAGAGCATATGTGTGTAGGGAAGGGGAATGCTGGTTTGTGTTTCTGAGGAGATAGTGAGGGACAGGTGTGTGTGTGTGTGTGTGTGTGTAGTAGATATGTGAAGTGGATGCGGAAGTGGGATGTGCAGGGGATATGGGCGTGTGTGGGTATGTGTGGGAGGTGGGTGGAAGGAATATTTATGTCCATTTAAGGTGTATACGTGTGGAGTTTGGATGTGGATGTGGATGTGCAGGGTGTAAGATTTTGTGTGGGCTGTAAATATGGGGGTAGAGGAAAGTGTGAGTGTGGGTGTATACTTGTCATGTGTATGGGTGTATGTAGATGTGGAGACGTGGGGAGAAGTATATGAGCATGTGTGTGTGTATATGCAGAGGGTGAGGGCCATCTGCGGGGTGCAGACGTGGAGCACATAGACTGTGTGGGTATGCGGGTAGGTGGGTATGTGGATATGTGCTTGAGAGAGGCTATGTGCATGGAGTTATCTGGAGTGCTGGGAGAATGTGTTTATGTGTGAGGGACCTGGAGATGTGAATATGGGGCTAGGTGTGTGTGCTTTGTGGGGGTGAGTGAGAAATCACCATCTGTCTGCAGGTGCATGGGTGGGGTGGATGTATAGACACGAGAAGATAAATAAATAAGTATGTGGCCATGGAGTGGACTGGAAGAATATCTGTGCATGTGTGGGTGTTTAGGGACATGGGGTGAGAGGGTAGAGGTGAAGACAGGACAGCAAAAAACTGGAGCATCTTACAAAACTCAGCCAAATGAAAATCTGGGAGCAAAGAACTGGCTTGGGATCTGAGAGAAGGTGTGAAGTTTGAATTGAATTTCCAGTGGCATCTAGACCTTCCAAGAAAGGGCCTGGGGATAGGGGGAAGCCCTCAGCATTTGAGTAGGGGCCAGAAGATAACACCATTTTGACTGTGGTTATTAGCACCAGCTAGAGAAGCAAGGCTGTCTGTTTTTAAATTCCCCAGCATTCTTTCCTCCTCCCTTGAGAAGCCAGTCTTCCTTCCAGGCACCAGGCAGGGAACCATACCTAGCACTCCAACCCGATAGTTGAGGGTGATGACGATGACATTGCCATAACTGGCGAGGACGCTGCCATCAATCATGTTGCCTGTCCCTTCCATGTAAGAGCCTCCGTGGATGTAGACCATGACGGGTTTAGCACCACTGTCCCGGATGTCTGCAAGGAGAAGGGGTGAGACACAGGCTGGGTGGGATGCCCTATCTCCCCCACCCCCGATAGCCCGGGAGGACGGGGTGCGGGCAGTAAAGCTATCCCAGGTGCCAGGACACCACCACCATCCCTGAGGGCAGGACTCATGGGGCTGCTCATCCTGGAGCTCAAGCATCAGCCCGAGACAGTGGGACTTCAGTGATGTTTTTAAAGACTCTGGTTTCAAGTGCCTCCCAGCTGAAGGCAGCCAGGCATGTGACACAGCCAGGCTCCGGTGGGCCATGGCTGGGCCCTGGGGGCCAGGGGCAGCAGAAAGAGGAAGGGCTGGTCCTTTAGCCACATCAGGTGAGTCGCTGCCCTGGGCACCCAGGAGTCCTGGGACCTGACATGGCTTTAGAGAGCAGGGGCTGGGGAGCCCTGAAACCCCCAAGACTAGACCAGTTACATGGAAAAACGGCCATTGGCAGCAGCTGGCCCCCCAGTGCAGACAGAGACAAGAGGTGTGGGAATAAAGGGTGGCACAGGGAGAGAACAAGGAAGGATGTGGGGAAAGGGGAGTGAATGGCAGAGATAGGGTGGGGGAACCTTGTTGACGTGATTTCTCAGCCATGTGCCCGTTTCCCCATTCTCCCCGGGCAGACTTAACCAGAAGCACTGGGGATGGGGCAGAACTAAGAATGACGGAGCCTGCTCCCAGTCAGTGCCAAGATGAAGATGGAGCCTCCCCAGAGGCCATTCACCAAGTGGCTACTCCCGAGCCCAGGCGGCATGGCATCAGGGCTGGGGCGGTCAAGAGAAGGCTCCAGGCCTGATCACCTCTGCCCGTAGCCTGTCAGTCTGTGAACTGAATCAATACTCCCCCCAACACCAGCGCGGCCCTACCCATCACCACTGGGCCCCCCTGAGCTGCCTGGCCCCTCCAGGGCAGAAGGGCAGGGCCAGGGCATGGAGGAGGAAGGGAATGCTCTCTGCTGCTGAGCAAACAGAACTTGTTTCTTCAAAGAGGAAGGCTGATCCGATCATCGCCCAAGGATCTTATACCATCTACTGATGGCTGTGGTGTCCTGGCCTCAGCCTGGCATTTGAGCCCAGTCTTTCTGGCCCTGTCTTGAACCTACTGCAGCCCCGGGCCCCAAGACCCTCTCTCTTTCTAGGAGAAGCCTGGGGAGGTTCTGGTGCTGCTTTTCCAGCCCCTTTGGTTGTCACTGCCTCACTCCTCAGTTCACCGTTCGGTGGGGACCCTCTCCCAGAAGCCAGGCTCCCCATGAGACACAGGGGTCTCTTCACCGAAACACAGGTATCTCCTTGCCGTCCCATTGCCTTTGTCCTCTCCCCGCCCTCAGGGGTCCTGCTTTCTCTCTATTCTCCCTGCTGCTCAGAAGGGGCAGGTGCCTCTGAACCACAGAAGATTGGGAAGGGGCGGGGGACCCAGGCAAGGAGGATGTCCTCCCCATGGCTCTGTTTGTGGTCGCCTGCTCCTGCCAGCCATGTCCATCACCCCGGAACTCCCAGTGGCCAACGGGGCCGAAGACAGATGAACAGCCCAACGGCCTTGTACAGGAACAGAAACACACCAACGGACGGACAGACAGACAGACGGGGCTTCTCCCCATCAAGAAGGGGAGGGGCTCTGTGCCATGCACCAGCCGCCGCGCCCTGCAGCCCCCAAATACCTTCATCTTCATCCCCGTCATTATCCGCTAAGTCCTCGCCCTGTTTCTTAGCGCCGGATCCTGGGGACCAGACACGGGGAGACACAACAGCACAGAACAGAGAACAAAACAGAGAGAGAATTCAAAAACAGCATGACTGCAGTGTGGCCCAGCAAGCCAGCTCCGGGCCTGGGCCCAGGACAGGCAGGAGGGATGGCAAGAACTGAGGGAATGGGTGGGCTGAGGCCCAGACCTTCATCAGGATGATGGTGTTGCAGGCCCCTGCTGTGCTGGCCTCTCTGCACTGCCCTGCCCCACTTCCTCGTCCCCAACAGCCCATCTCAACCAACTACCTTTCCAGTGAGGAAGGAGGTAGCAGCAGGTGGGCCAGGGCACCGAGCCAGAGACCCGCTCGGGGGAAGGATTCATCCTGGGTGGAAGGGGCTGCTCGGGTGTACACAGGCAGGTCGAGCTGGAGAGCAGGGTCAGGTACTGAGGGTGAGGGGCGACACTGCCAGCAAGTGTGGAGGTTGTGGATACGGGGTACTTAGGGCAGAGATGTGTACAGGGACCCCAGGCCTGAGCTCCTGGGGCCCAGTGGGCAGGCTCAAGCTGGGCCTCAGCTGACCCTGATTCCCACAGGAGAAAATGGGAGATGAAGCTTTCCCTCTGGCCTTCCTTGTTGGAGCCCCTGCTCTGGTTAATGGCAAATGGGGTTCCTGCCCACAGGAACCAATGTTGAGAGCAGCAAGCATTGCTCTGAGATGTAGAGAGCCAGAGAGGGAGAGAATAAAGGGGAAGAGGAGAAAGGGATGGTGAGAGAAGGAGAGAGAGAGAGAGACAGAGAGAGACAGAGAGAGACAGAGAGAGAGAGAGAGAGAGAGAGAGAGAGAGAGAGAGAGAAGAGAAACAAAGAGATAGGAATAATGGTCACAGCTCCAATCATGTACTGAATATTTACCATGTGCCAGACACTCTACTTCTGCCATATTGTTTGATCCTTACACCCCAGTGAGATACGTCCTATCCTTATTCCTGTTTCACTGATGGGGAAACTGAGGTTCAGAGAGGTAAAGTGACTTGCTCAAGATCACACAGCTAGGAAGTGCTAGAGGTGCGATTCAAACCCAGGTCTGCTTGACTCCAAAGCCCATGGTCTTTCCACTGCACCATGCCATCTTTCTGGGGGTGGGGAAGGGGGAGGGGAGGGAGGAAATAGATGAGAAAAGCGGTGGAGCATGGAGGGGAGGGGAGAGAAGGGGAAAGGAGGGGAGAGAAAAAAGAAGAGACTAGAGGTGAGAAGGGAGACATTTAGGATCTGGGGCTAAGCTGGCATACATTCTCCTTCCTGTTCTAAGGAGGCTAGAAGTGCAGCCTGGCGATGGCTGTGGAGGGAGAGGCCCAGCTGCCTGGATGCTGGTCAGTGTGTGGAAACAGAGGGGACTGTGCTGGCACCCCAGGGCTTGCCCTCTTGCATCTGTGGCATCAGATACCCTCAGCCTGAAGGGAGCAAAGAGCCCTTTTTCCCAGCCAGTCTGGACTCTGATGACCAGGTTTTCTTTTTTTTTTTGAGACGAAGTCTCACTCTGTCACCAGGCTGAAGTGCAGTGCCCGGCTCACTGCAACCCCCACCTCCCGGATTCAAGCAATTCTCCTGCCTCAGCCTCCTGAGTAGCTGGGATTACAGGTGTGTGCCACCATACCCAGCTGACTCTTGTATTTTTAGTAGAGACAGGGTTTCACCATGTTGTCCAGGATGGTCTCAATCTCTTGACCTTGTGATTCACCTGCCTCGGCCTCCCAAAGTGCTGGGATTACAGGTGTGAGCCACCGCACCCGGCTGATGACTAGATTTTCTTATAGCCATTCATCAAAACAGGAACTGCCCTCATCCTACAAAATGGCTTTTCAACTAGGACCAGAGCCCAGCCCTAGGGAGAAATTGCCTCTGGCTCCCTGAACTTCCAGTGGCACCTACCGTCTTAACACACTAGCTCAACACCTGCCAGTGCTGTCGTCAGAAACCCAAGGGAACATGGGTATCATCCCTCACACCATGGACAGCCTACCAAACGGAAAGGAATGGTTCACCCTCACACACAAATTCCTTCCAACTGGGGGAGATGGGGCAGGTCTTCCCCAGGCAACCTTTCATTTTCCATCATCCCTGACTTAGAAGACAGGTCCCTTGTGAACCCCTCTGAGAGTGTCCCTGGGTCGCTGCATTGTCCCAGCCTCCTTTGCACAGATGCCTCTGCTCCTTCAGCCTGGCACTTGCTGAGCAGCTCCTAGATGTCATGCCTGTCACCAGGCCAGCCTGACTGCTGACCACCATCCCCAGACCCTGCTCCGCTTTGGGATCCCAGACAGGCCGGCCCTCAGACCTTTGCACACCACAGTACTAATGACCCTCAGGGATGGGTCTCACTCAAGAGGCGGGATTTGTCGCTCTTCCAAATGACCACCAGGTCCTGGGTAGGGAACTAATTTGAACAGCGAAATGACCAAATGCCCTCCCTCACACTGTCTGGAACCCACATCCTGACGGGTCCCTGGGACTTAGGGAAACCAACTGAGGTTTTTTTTTTTTTTTTTTTTTTTGTTTTTTTGTTTTTTTTTTTTTTTTAGATGAAGTTTCTCTCTTGTTGCCCAGGCTGGAGTGCAATGGTGTGATCTCGGCTCCCTGCAACCTCCGCCTCCGGGTTCAAGTGGTTCTCCTGCCCCAGCCTCCCGAGTAGCTGGGACTACAGGTGCATACCACCAAGCTTGGCTGATTTTTCTTTTTTTGTATTTTTAGTAGGGACAGGGTTTCACCATATTGGCCAGGCTGGTCTTGAATTCCTGAACTCAAGTGATCCACCTGCCTCGGCCTCCCAGAGTGCTGGGATTATAGACGTGAGCCACCGCGCCTGGCCAAACCAGCTGAGTTTTAATACAAGGCTAGGAGCTTCTTCAGAACGGTGATTAGACCTTCAGTCATTTCTAAGTCTTTCCTCTACCTCACATCCCCACCACATGCCAACAACACCTAGCACATGGCCTTGCTCACAGTCAGCAATCACGATTGTAAATGTGCGTGTTTGAGCGGGGGCTTCCAGTCTTCTCTCTGGCCACTGTCAGGGCTGGACTGGACAGCCCAAGGATCTTACTGGAAGATCATTCTTCCTAAGAAACAGTCAATGTGAATGTTTTCTCCTCTCCTGCAGGTTTAAGAGACCTTCTTCCTGAATTCATTTACAGGCTAATGGGGTGCTAAGGCCAGAACTGTCCCCTACCACCCTCAGATGTGGAAGCAGAGGTTCTTGAAGGAAAAGGCTTGCCTAAAATCTCACTGTGAGTTGGCAGCAGAGCTGGGACTCAGGCCTTGTGCTTCCCAGACCTGTACTCTTTCTTTAGCACCATGATGCTTTGGAATTCATGTGAGAAACGTCAATTGCCTACAGTGTGTGAGGTCCTGGGTGGTGAAATACTATCCCTAGAGCAGCAGGTCTCACTCCACGCCCTGGTGTGCATTAGAAGCACTCAGGGCTCATGTTCAACATGTAGGTTCCCGGGCTCTGCCCCCAGAAATTCTTATTCAGTAAGGAGCACCCCATCCCAGGAATCCTGACAACCCCATTCTGAGAAACCCTGCCCTAGGACATCAAAGGAAAACAAACTCCCAGCTTGCCAGAGGGTTGTAGGAACCAAGCTGTGATTTTCCACCTGTTCCTTAGGCTGTTACTGTTCCAGCTCGCTCCAGCCCAGCCACATCTCCCATTGTTTTGAGTTGGGGAGATGGGAATGAGCAGATGGGAGCTGCTTCCGTGTGCTACAGTGGAAAGAACACGCCCTGAGGGTCAAGAGACCCAGGTTTTGGTCCCAGCTCTGCCACAGACCAGCGACGGGGGCCTTGAGCAGCAGCAAGTCACTCCCCTGGGCCTGTTTCCTCATCTGTAAAATTGGGATACTGATTCCTGCCTTAGACGCTTCCAGAGATGTAGGGAGGATTCTACAAGGTAAATGCCAAGGCACTTCACAGAGAACATAAACTGGTATTCCAACAGGAAGAATTCTTATACAGGGGGAGAAACAACTCTCAGCATGAGGATAAATTTAAAATTCAGAATCTTGTGCCTCCTTTGGAGTGCATCGTTCCCAGAGGCCCACAAGTTCTGCCCCCACAGCAGCCTGGGTCTATCAGCTACACTCTGGCCAGAGGTGGTGGCTGGGAGGCAGAGGTGTGTGTGGCAGGAGTTACTAAACCTGTGTACACGTGTTTGATCTAAGCTTCAGGGTGGGAGAATTGAGTCTAGACTTTCAATCCAGGAGAAAGAACACAGAAGGAGTGGTCTTCTGGCTCCACCCACTAGGAAAAGAGTGGAGCCTCTGGCTCCATCTTGGCTTCCTAGTTTCTCCTGAGGTGTCACCGAGAGCCACTGGCTCTGCCTTTGGCACACACTTTAGGGTGGAATTTGGGGCTGGGAAGATTGGAAGAAATAGGGTTGCTGCTTCTGCTCTGAGCCTGCCTTAGGCCACCAAATCCTCCTTGCAAAGCAGCCAGGGCCCTCGGATGAGGTGGCGCTTATGCCTGCTCACCGCCCCCTGAGCCTGGGCTACTTGGAGAAATGCTGGGTCCTGGGGGCAAGGGCAGGTGGGCAGGCAGCCCTCCCTCTCTCTGTCTCTCCCTCCCCGCCGGCTCGCTACCTACCTCCTTTCCTACAAATTTTCTTGTTGGGCTTTCGGGCGCATTCCTTGGAAATCCGCTTTACTGTAAAATGAATAAAAAACTAAAAAATAACAGGAGGCCTCTGCCCAGGGGCATGCACCCCCCCACCCCCCAGGCCCCAAGAGCTGAGCTGCTCTGCAGGCGGCACATGGCAGAGAGCCTGTCCCACCATCTCCTTGTTTCTGTCACTTACCTTAGTGTGACCCCCGCGGGAGGAGGCATCAGCTAGTGAAAGAGGAGGCACCTAAGCATCGCCCACCAGGCTTGCCCCCCGCCCCCCACACACCCAGCTCCCTTGGCCACACACACCTACCACCTTTCGAAGCAGGTGGAATGGCAACAGGGGGGCCTGGTGGAGCCAGCATCCTCCCGCGGGCAGCTGCCAGCCGTGACCCATACTCCCCCAGGGGACCCCCATCCAGCACTGGACCTAGACCCATCAGAGCTCTCAGGCCGGGCCAGGCCCCTCCTGGCAACAGTGTCACTCACACATGGGAGCTCGGACAATGCTGGGAGAGGGAAGAACAGGGAGCGGGGCAGGAGGCCAAGCAGAGTGATGGTTAGAAGCATTTTCACAGACAGACAGATGCATGCTGCAGGGTACACAACCACGTGCAAGCCACAAACACAACAGGGCAGGCGGGAGGCAGGGAGGGCACAGTGCCTGGCCGCAGCACTCACCATCCTCCGTTGGCACATAGACGTTCAGGTAGAGACAGTCTTCGTTGGGCTCCTGGATGTAAGTAGCGACGATATCCAAGTTGGCAGTGAACCAGACTGGCAGCATGACTTCGGGCACAGCTGTGTGGATGTTCTGGGGGCACACTGGGGGAAAGTGTGTGGCGTTCCGGATGCCCGACCAGGATGGGGGTGGTTCAGGGGGCAGGAAGCGTTTCTCGCCGATCGGGGGAGCTGCGTAGGGCACCCCTAGGTATTGGTCCACAGGCCCCAGGATCTCACTGGGCAGTGGTACCCGGGCACCCCTTAGCTTCCCAAAGTGAGTGTTGACTGTGGGTGCGGGGGCCTGGGTACTGGCCCTCAGTGCCAAACTGAGGAACCACAGAGTGAAGCACAGGCTCTGGCCAACCGTGGGCTTGGGGTTCAGGGACAGCGAGGGCGGGCCAAGCCGCAGCCACATGTTCCGGGCAGGGGGACTGGCAGGAAAGGCAGACTCCAGGGTCACAGCATCAGCCCAATTGGCAGCCCCTTCATGGCCACACTGACTTGAACCTCAAAACTGAGCTCTCGAGGGACACCTATAGGTGCCCAGCAACGTAGAGAGCAGGTCGTCCAAGCACCACAGCTTCAGAAAGGGGACACTCCCTCAGGGCCAGACAGGCCTGTGGAAAGAGGGAAGTATGCGTCATCCAAGACAGTCTGGGAGGGCCGCAGAGTTGGTCTTTGGGGGCCCCGCTGGGCTTGGGTTATTCTCTTACAGGTAGGAGAGGTTTCACATGCCCAGGGGCCCAGGGACTCACAGATGATCCACTGCCAGTCGGAACTATTCTATGTGCCTGGCCACAGCTGGAAAATCCAACGGGACTGACAGTGACAGTTGTCGCCACTGCAAGTTCCCGATGCCCAACTTCAACCCCACAGCCAAAGGGCTTCATCAGGGTCAGCTGGAGCCAGAGTAGCATGTGACAGCCAGTGGGTGGAGAGAAACAGAGATGCAGCCCAGGTCCCCCGCATGCTGCTTGAACAGAGCTGTGTAGCCCCTGGGACCTGGTAAGCCCACACAGGGACCTCCACTTCCAGACAGGGTGGGATTGTTAACCTCACTCCAGGACACTAAGGCACAAGAACCGAAAGCAGCAAATTGGCAGAGTCCGACAGAGAGAGTCCCTCACCCTCAGGCAGGGCAGAGGGCAGGAAAGCCATTCACCAGAGTCCCCAGGCCCTCCGGCGACCCTTCTGTACATTTCTCCTCAGCCCTTATTGCTCCCAAACCCTTAAGCCTTGGTCCTTTCAGCTGGGTCTCGCTTAATTCACACTGAATTCCAGAAGTGAGGCAAAAAGAGTTCTGCCTAGCACCCTAGACTTTGTGGATGCTCGTCCGGTGTATTATAAAATAAACAACGGAGTGTGGGGTATACATATTCAGAGACTCATAGAAATAAACTCACAAAGATTCAAAGAGGGAATGAGAGAGACCAAGCCAGGATCATAGACAGGGTGATATTCACTCACAGAGACATACATTCCAAACCCACAGAGATCCCCTCATATAGTCCCACATTCTGAGACAGAGTGCCTCACACAGCCAGAGCCTCACAGAGTGATACATTCAGAGACACACACAGAGACTTACTGAAATATAATCACACATACCCGCATAGGTAAATATCCAGACACATGCAGCATAATGGTGACACATAGGTGGAGACAGAAACAGAAATAGCAACACACTCAGACACACACAGGCCTTCTGACACAGTTACACAGTCAACACATAGACACAGGCACACACATACTCCCGCATGCTCCTGCACACACACGCACACCACATGCACATTTAGTTTTCCTCCATTTCTCCCGCCTTCCGAGATTGCAGGCCTGCTCCTTTAAGAACTGGCTGAAGGGGTGGGGGAGGGAGATCGGGAACGCCCGGCAATCGGCCACCACGAGAGGGGAATGAGAATGTGTGTGTGTGTGTGTGTGTGTGTGTGTGTGTGTGTGTGTGAAAGAGGCAGAGAGAGAGAAGAAAAAGGAAGAGGAGGGAGGGCGGGTAAAGTGGCTAAAGGGGTGGGGGCTCAGAGGAAATGAGGAAATGGGGAGCAAAGTATGGGGGGGAAGATCCCAGACACTGCCCAGAATGCACCCGGGTCGGGGGAGGAGGGGAAGGGGAAGGAAGGGTAGGAGTAGGGAGGTGGGGCAGGAGGGAGTGGGTGGGTGTGTGTATGGGGGGGGATAGTCCGCAGCTGAGTTCACACAATCCCCCCATTCACCGTCTCCATGGCAACTCCGGGGCACAGACCGCTCATTCACACGGCTTCTCCGCCAGCAACCCCCCCATTAACCCCCTCGGTGCCGCCCCCACCCCACAAATTCCATTAACCCTTTCGGGATGCCTCCAATAACCCTTCGGCGCCAAATGCCAAATTCTCCTTTGAGTCAATTCCCTGCAGCCCCTCCTCCGTGAACACCTAGACAATCGGACCGACCCCCAAACGCCCTCTGTACCCTAGGACCCACTGTGAATCCCCAAGGCCAAGATCTCCATCCTGGTCTAACTTGCAATTTGGGAGAAGACAAGGGGAGGCAGCAATGCCAGGCATGAGAATGGCATCTGGGGGTACTTTTGGGGCTGCAGCAGTGTTGGGCACCGGGCATTGTGCGGGAATGGACCAATATTGAGAACTGCAGTATTGGGGGCTAAGAGGGTTTGGAATGGATTGGGGGATGGAGTTGCACTGGAATGGGGGAGGATAGGATAAAGGCCTCCATTGGGTGGGGGGGCTGCAGAGGGTGGGGGAGGGAGCCAGGCTATGAGATGCTATGATGGAAGGGGGATGGGGCTGCACTGCAGGGGAGGGGGGACTGGCAATGTTCAATCCCGGGATGGGGCTGGGGGCCCTTGATAGGGGTATTTTGATGAGCATGCGGGATGGGCTGTGGAAATAGAGGGACCATGGGCGGGAGGATGAGAGGGATGCAGGATTTAGGGAGGAGGCAGAGGACAGAACAGAAGCGGGGGAGGATTGGGGGGTCAGGGGTGCCGACGGAGAACATGGGGTTGAGAGGGATGGGGGCCACTGGCTGGGGAGTGGAGGAGCCTGGGATTGGGAGGGGTTAGGATGGGGGCAAGGTATGGGCAGCTAGAGGATGAGAGACCGGGGCAGGCGGCCTCACCTGTTCCCCGGGCTGCTGCAAGCGACTGAACCGGGCCACGGACCACCCATATCGCCTCCAGGCCAAGGGCTCCGCACCCGAATCCCCGAGATCAGCTCTCCGGCAGCCTGGCTGCTGTGCCCGCGCACCGAGGGGGCGCGCTGCGCGTGCCCGGACACGGGGGGGCGCGGTCCCTGCCATTAACTCCTTTTGTGCCAGAGATGGCTCAAGTCCTGGGGCATGGCCCAATTCCCCCCATGCTCAGACACGTTCCGCTCCCTCTCTCTCTCTCATGCGCGCACACACACACACCTCAGATTGCAAGCTATCAGACAGGTGATCTTCCAGGGCAGCTTGCCAAAACTACCTGCAAAGCTTGAGACCTTGACCCAAAGGGAGAAACTGAGGCACTGCCTGCAGGAACCCTCAGTCATACTACACAAAAACACCCCCACCTCAATCAGCATCCCTCATCTTTCAGCACCAGCACTACCCAGACAGCAACCATTGGAGCCACTCTGCTCTCATCCTGTCACTCTCCCAAAGGTCAATGCTGTTCCCTTCTGCTGCTTCTGCTGGGACATGTCAGACTCAGACTGTCAGCATGCCAGTTGTCTGCCCATTTCAGTCTCTCCCCTCCAGGCTCAGTGTCTTTGTGTCTTGTGGTTTTGTACATGGCGCACCTGTCATTTAGCAACACCCAAGCCCCTCTTAATGCCCCTCATCCCAGCCAAGCCTGTACGCCTGTGGCTCCTCACAATGTTGATGTCAGGATAGAATAAGTGAGAAGAAAGCTTCAGTCATGTTTGCCTTTACACTGTCAGGGAGTTCCACTCCTTGTGCACGCAACTCTTAAATTTGCTAAGTCCCATATAAGCAAGGGCTTCGTGGGCCTTAAAGAGGGCTTTTGTTTTATTTTTTATAACTTGGGTATTGATTGGTGCTCCTCGTTTTGCCAGCACACTAGACACTTCCCAGTAATAGGGTGCAACTATGGCTTGCATATTATCCTTAAGTTGTCAAATCATCTTGTACCACCCACTCACAAGGCTGAGGCTGATCCTCTTCCAACCCTAGCTAGGCAGGGCAGAAGATTCCATTGTAGTAAACGAGTTGGCTCTCCTGGACAGCCTTGGATCTAAAGCTCAAACCAGAAAGCAACAGGGCAAGGATGGCCCTGCCACGGCTTCAAATATGACTCTGGGGCAACAGTTTTGAGTTTTCTCTACTGTAAAATGGGAGCGAGCAACAGTCATCCTGGGTAACTGCCAAGGTGGGTCATTTGAGAACAGGCAGTTCTGGCAGCAGGGCAGAGAGAAAGCGTGCTTATTTTTACTGGTCTCTTCCTCCTAGGACCAAACGGTCCTTCCACCACCTATTCTATGATGGCACATGTCAATGGAGGGCCATTTTTCATTCAGGAATGTGACTCTCAAGAGAAGTTCTGTCCTACGAAAGGTACGCCACTTGGTGCACGATGGGGACCACACAGATGACAAGAAGGGTAGACAGTGTCTGTCATCTCCACCCTCCCCAGCCTTGTTGGAGGCCCAGCATCTGGGGTGCTGTGGAAGAATAAACAGGTTCTATTGACGACTCCCCTGGCCTAATGGCCTCTCCTCAATCCCAGTGGTATATCCCCCATGGAGGAAAGCTGTAAAGAAGCTGCAACATTTAGTTAAGAAGATTCACTGCTCCTTCTTAAGAGACTAAGGGGCTTGATGTGGTGGCTCATGCCTGTAATTCCAGAACTTTGGGAGGTTGAGGTGGGCAGATCACCTAAGGTCAGGAGTTTGAGATCAGCCTGATCAACATGGTGAAACCCCCGTCTCTACTAAAGATACAAAACGGCTCATGCCTGAAATTCCAGCACTTTAGGAGGCCGAGGTGGTTGGATCATGAGGTCAAAAGATCAAGACCATCCTGGCCAATGTGGTGAAACCCCATCTCTACTAAAAATACAAAAAATTAACTCGGCATGGTGGCACATGCCTGTAGTCCCAGCTACTCGGGAGGCTGAGGTAGGAGAATTGCTTGAACCCGGGGGGTGGAGGCTGTGGTGAGCTAAGATCGTGCCACTGCACTCCAGCCTGGCGACAGAGCAAGACTCTGTCTCCAAAAAAAAAAAAAAAAAAAATCAGCTGGGCGTGGTGGAGCATGCCTGTAATCCCAGCTACTCGGGAAGGTGAGGCAGGAGAATCACTGGAACCCAGGAGGCAGGGGTTGTAGTGAGCTGGGTAACAAGAGCAAAATTTTGTCTCAAAAATAAATAAATAAATAAATAAATAAATAAATAATAAATAAAAGAGACTAAGGGTCTATACCTTAATATGCTGCCATGTTGGAGAAGAGGAAGAGGGGGTAGCAATCCAATTAGAATTAAGAAATTTAGAGTGTAAGGTAAACAGGGGAGATGACTGGAATAGAATGAAGACTCTGATTTGTTGGTCCAGCCCCCAGCATTGTCCAGAAAGACCACCCTTCCCAGACATGCAGAACTCACACACTCCCTTTGCAAAGAAGCTCTGTGTATTGGGTACAACAGCTCTGGGGTCTCTATATAAATAATATACAAAACCCAACAGCTCAATGCCTCACATTAACAAAAATACTAAAAACTTATTAAAAATGGAGCCTGAGGGAAGGGCCCAACCACTACTGGTGCTAGCCCAGGAAAGGGATTGGGAATTAAGAGGAAAGGGTGGGGCCACATCCAGTGCACAAGCAGTTCCTCCAGGTGGCTCAGTAGCGTCCAAATATGTTGGTACTGGGCTGTGGCTGGGTATCTGTGAAAAACCAGAGATTATCAGGGATGGAAGACCAGGCAGGGCTATGGGTATGCATGAGGAAAGCTGTTCAGGTATCAAGGGAGGGGGATGGAATGGAATGCCTCTTCTCATAACCTGGGCCTGAAGCCGTCGTTTCAGCTACTTTGGCCCACCCCACCCCCTAAATTTATTCCATGGGGTTCTCCTGGGGAAGGCAGGCAGGCTTACTGGAGAGCTGTTGTTGCAGTTGCCGGACCAAAGCTGCTGTCTGTTGCTGCTGCTGGGTCTGCTGAAGCCCCTGGCGCTGGAACTGGGTGGAAATGGGAAGTGGAAGACTGAACTCGAACTTTTCTCTTTCTTCGCCCTCCTCTCCCTTTTTCTTTGAGACGGAATCTTGCTGTCACCCAGGCTGAAGTGCAGTGATGCTATCTCTGATCACTGCAACCTCCACCTCCCGGGTTCAAGCAATTCTCTGCCTCAGCCTCCCGAGTAGCTGGGATTACAGGTGCCTGTCACCATGCCCGGCTATTTTTTTTTTTTTTTTTTTTTTTTGTATTTTTAGTAGAGACGGGGTTTCACCATCTTGGCCAGGCTGGTCTCGAACTCCTGACCTCAAGCGATCCACCCACCTTGGTCTCCCAAAGTACTGGGATTACAGGCGTGAGCCACGCCTGGCCTCCCAATCCCTTTTTAGGGTGCCATGCCCTGCCTCCCACCTCTACCCCATTCCATACTGTCCCTAACCCAGTTCACTGGCTGTGTGCCCAACCTGGGCAGCTGTCCCTGAGCCTGGGGCTGTAGTACAGCAGCTACCTGGGGCTGGGACTGGGGCTGGGGTTGGGGAGGAGCCGCCTGTTGCTGCTGTTGCTGCTGGTGTTGCTGCTGCTGTTGCTGTTGCTGTTGTTGTTGCTGCTGCTGCTGCTGTTGCTGCTGTTGCTGCTGCTGCTGCTGCTATGAGAACATAAAAGATACTTCAGAAGGAGCAGAGGGAAGAAGCTAAGACTCAGAACTGGAGGGCTGAGGGCAGGGGATGAGGAAGCAGGGAGGGAGCTTGGGGTCTACTACCTTCCCTTCTCAGAGAGCTGCCCAGAAAGAAACCAACTCTAGGGTACCCAGCGGACAATGTCCAAGTCTCTCCCTCTATGACCCCCAGAAAACAGAAAGGGGGAAGATAGGAAACCTCCAGCACCACTAGAGGCCAGCCGCTCTGCTGGGTATTTGGGTACACTGCCTTGTTTAGTCTCGGTAACTGCGTGGGAAGAAATTGTGCCTCTCCCCGTCCCCAGGTTCCCGCGTCCCAGATGCAATCCCAGTGCCTTACCCGCAGGATCTGCTGCTGCTGCTGCTGTCGGATGTGGTACTGCTGCTGCTGCTGCTGCTGTTGCTGCTGCTGCTGTTGCTGCTGTTGCTGCTGCTGTTGCTGCTGCTGCTGCTGCTGTTCAGGTAGGATGGCTGTTGAGCGGACGCCTGTCTGGACGCCCTGGGCACTCATTGGAGTCATGGTACTTATCATGGGCGTCTGCTGCAGTGTCTGATGTGAAAACCTCCAAAGACAAGAGGGCCAGAGGTCAAGGCGTGCAGGAGGTGGGGGAGAGGGGGTCAGTATAAATCCTGGGTCCCTGACCTGAAAGAAACATTAGCAAGTTATTTCATTCATTCTTCTTGTCACTAACCAGACTTCCAGTCTGGGGAATAAGTTGCATAAGAAGATATTCTATTTTAGTGTCTCATAACCTTAATGGTTAGGAATTTTCAATTCTGCGTTAGCTATTTTTCTCTTACAAAAATGAAAAACAGGGCTGAGTGTGGTGGCTCACATTTGTAATCCCAGCACTTTGGGAGGCTGAGGCAGGTGGATCACTTGAGGTCAAGAGTTCGAGACCAGCCTGACCAACAAGGTGAAACCCCGTCTCTAGCAAAAACACAAAAAAATTAGCTAAGCATGGTGGCGCATGCCTGTAATCCCAGCTACTTGGAAGGCTCAGGCAGGAGAATCTCTTGAACCTGGGAGGTGGAGGTTGCAGTGAGCCAAGATTGCACCACTGCACTCTAGCCTGGGCGACAGAGCGAGACTCCGTCTCAAAAAAAAAAGAAAAACAGTCTTAGCAGAAGATAGGCATTCTATAAATATTCACTGAGGCTTTTTGCTGTTGCTGCTGTTGTTGTTTCCCAGTAACATTTCAAGTTGTTTTACTATACCTGTGTATCAGGGCAAGAGTCTATTGGCTGAATCAGTCTTTTTTTTGTTGTTTGTTTTGAGACGGAGTTTCACTCTTGTTACCCAGGCTGGAGTGCAGTGGCACAATCTCGGCTCACCGCAACCTCCGCCTCCTGGGTTCAAGCAATTCTCCTGCCTCAGCCTCCCAAGTATCTGGGA